GGGGGAGAGAGAGAGAGAGAGAGAGAGAGAGAGAGAGAGAGAGAGAGATCTTCCGCTCCCCTAGAATGCCCAACTCTCTCTAATTAACAGGACTACAGACAGAAAGACTGGAGTGACGACCTTCTCATACACGTCTATTATTTCATGTGTTTATACATTGCGGCAACCATTTAAGTCTGCATTATTTTTTTTAATTATTATTATTATTATTGATAATAATAATAATAAATATAATATAATCCCACAGTGTAACTATGTAAATGTATAAATAATACATAACTGTATAAATAATAAATGTATACAATAATACATACTAACGTTTCTGATATTTCTCCCTTAAGTCAATCTGAATTAAATTGCCTAGGCTAAATAGCCACGAACACATAATGTAGTCTGTATCATACTTTGGCAATAGTCCTGTATGAACACTCGTTCCTCTCGCATCAGTCTTGTCATGATGAGGAAGTTGTTATTGGTTTCCGCTCTCACACCTCATCGGAAGAATCTGATTCAGACAGAAGGTAAAGGGCAACCCTTGAACTCATTAACAGGTTAAAAGAAGGGCCACGAAACAGCACTATCCATCCACTTTTAATTCAGAGCCGAGAGAACGCGCAAGACAGCCAACAGATGCTCTGACTGTGTGTAAAATAAAATCCATGTATCGTTTCATTGAGTCTATTTAATTGTGTTGACAAATTTTTGTGTCTTAATTTTCACTTTCAAAATATCTATTTTTATACTGTATCGTTTACTAATAGACTAAAAAATAAAATGTATTTTTTCAGCCCAGCTTCCAGAGTTCTCTCAGGATCAAATATTAACGATCCGTTCACCGGGAGTGGGTAGGCAGTGTTGCTCCATTCGTTCGTGCTGAAAGCCCCAAATCTCAGCACAGAAATATCAGTGGTTTGATCAGAGCTGGATAGAATTATCACGGGGAGAGATACAAAGGCGGAAGACAAAACGTGCTCGCTTTCCCTGGTGTTTGAGTACAAACCATATTAAACACCGAGCTCCAGTTATTAGATCTGACTGAAACAGCACTGAGGAATATGAAGCAGACGTTTATGAAATCAGAGACACTGTTTCATAAATAATAGGTAGGCTAACGTCTTGAGTAAAACAAAAGGATATGAAACCACACTGAACTAAACAATGGGGAAAGGGGAAATAGCCTATGAATAGTATACGAATTATACAGTGACTTTTCAAATGGTCGACTGTTTAAAGATAATTTTAAATTTATTAATTGTAAAGGTAGTTTTCAGGGCATAATCTGTCGAGGTTCATCTCACGCAATGCAAATTGCAATTTGTCACGTAAAACGTTCTTTATTTTTTTCAAAAATATGTAAAAACTAATATCTTTATTATGTAATTCTAATTTTATAATAAAGTGATACAAAAATTGTGATGCTTACGCAAATTGATGCTATTGGAAAGCGCGTGCGCAGTGTACTGTTGCTATGGTTACCTCCATCCAGCGAAAACGTCTAGGTGAAAATCGCTATGCGTTCTGGCTAACTTGTAGCGTTAATGAAACGTTTGAAAACCCCTGTTGAAAAATACAAATAGCCTATATGTGTGATCCTCTGAAATCCCCCCTAATTTGCACACTGTCTGTAAACACACTACATATGTGCTGTTTAAGTTTTAGAGGTTATGTATTTTGCCCTTACCCGCAGTTTTTAGATTTGACGGGTTCACGAAATCTATCATATTTCGCACACACCTCACGATATCCCGCACTGAAATGTTTAATGTATAAGCCAACATTATACTACACAGAGAGCGCACATTATAAATATGCATGTATTCAATTAAGGGTATTACACAGGATTTCATTTGCATAAGGATTTGGGAGCTTAACATGCCTTTCTATATTTGTGCAATAAAACTTTAATATTATCGCATGCCCTTCAATGCCGTGGGTACTTTTTATTAATAGTCTATCTGTCTACTACATTACTATTAGCTACTATAGGCTAGCCTACTACTATCATCACAGTTCAGATCAGCTTAATAGGCCCCAATGATTGCCAGGACTGTGGTAAATTAACTGTTATATTTGTCACATAACAGTAGCTGCACCTGTTCCTCTCGTGACAGCTCATAGTGTGTATTTTTGGAACGTATCGCATTCCATTATTTTTCATTGAGTGAGTAGCCTAAATATTTGGATCAGTGGACAAATGTGTGGCTTTTTTCAGTCGAGTGTTTGTTCTAGGGTTTCCCCCAGATTCCCACAATTGGACGCTATTGCACACTTACTGCAAAAACGAGTTAGCATGCAGCGTCCTGCTGTTTTCTCTTGCTGACCGTCTTTTTTCCTTCTTATTATTGTGACTGTGTGATACAGAAAAAGTCACATGAAAACAAGAATATTTTGGACAATGTCACTCAGGTCAGATTAAAAAATGATGGGTTAAATTCCTTGGTGTACTTTTCCTCTTAAAGCGGTTGAATGGCCCGTATGTTTGAGACAAACCAGCAGGGACTTTTCTTTATTCAGTGAGCTGAACCTATAGCCTTCAAGTGCATCATATAGCTAATGACGATCGATTACATCACATCATTTACAATTTATGAGCCACATACAATAAACGGCCAATTTTAAAGAATGTTTATTAGTTCACAGCACTGAATTAAAATACATAGTTCACTACGGTTACACTTCCCAGCAATGTATGTGAAGCTCGTGGTGTTGTCAAAAAGCCAGGTGTTTGTTTATAAGACACAAGCTGATATTGTGTCAGAGTTAATGCCAGCCTTAATCTGCTGTGCTGCTTGGAAACACGCTTACATTCAGGTTGTCCTATTAGAGGGTGCAGAAGCTTTTTGAAGAATAAACAAGAACCAATGACAATTTTTTGAGCAACTAACGAGCTCTTCCCGCAGCTTCTTGAAATAAGGATTTTGGTTTTAACACGGCGTACAAGAACATTGTTTATGAATTGTAATTAAACCCAAACACATTTCAAACAGATTTGGCAGAAATTCCACAAAGAGAGTAAATATTAAACCTAATATAGTGTAAAACAATGCCTAAGCATTTTTATAATTTTTGCGCCATGTACATTATTTCAAAACTTTTGCACAAAATGTGAAATATTTTTGCACTACTTATAGGCTATTATTTTGTGCATGCTAAAATTTTTCGTGTTCAGTGGGCTATAATGCAAACGGAAGGCCAAAGCAAATACACTAACAAAGTTTGAATGAGCAGTATTTGCTATTAAAGCGCTTAGTCAGCAAAACATGTTTTTAATTAGGTTAAAGGACTGATTATAGTGAAGCATATGGACTTCACAGTACAACATATATAAGCATTACAAAATATACATCAATTTATTTGTGGATCGTCATTGCTATATTAACTCTTTCAAACAGTGGCACTCAAAAATCAATTGATTTTTGCGTCGAACTATCATACCTATTTTGTTAAAACACGAGTCACGTGGGGGCTGTATGAATTTGTCTCCCACTGGTTTGTTCCTGAGGTCCGCTGCTCTCTAGGGCTCGAAATTAATACTGTCTCGCCAATTTTTAGAGTAAAAACAAAACCTAAAAAACTAAATGAGCAACTGAAAACGCCACCGCAAAAATCAGTGCAAAAACATTTAAATAGAAAAATTGACTAAAATGTAAAAAGAAAATAACTATGTTATATGCTAAATTTAATCGCTTCTGTCCGTTTTTCTAACCCTTAAGTCACTGCGTGGACATCAGAGAAGTGTCTCTCTATGCGTTGTTAGAATCATCACCTATTATACTGGATGGACTGAATGAGTAAAACAAATATATGGCCTTTTGGGATTTGGAACCAGTGCTTCACAGCAGTCCATATGAGGTACAAAAGAGGACGGCCATTAATAATGGATGATCCGAGATATTCATTGTGAGTGTTTTCCTTAGCTTTCCAAACACTCACATCATTGAGATTTTTATATATATATATATATATATAATATTATTAATGAAAGCTTATTTTGGGGAAAATATAATGCTCCCAGAATGACATTAAAAATTGAGAAAATATTACGAGGAACACTAAAATATGTGAAAAATATAAATGTGAAGAAAACCACGCACATGAAAGAGATTATTAGTATTGCATCTTCCCAACGTTTGGTAGAACAATACAATATAGAGTTTTTTTTTAAAAGCAGGTTAGAGTGATGAAACAGCCGAATTGACTGTGACACTGACGTTAATTGGACTTCTCACGGATACTCTGAACTGTACATTCAATGCTGTCAGTAGGAAGAGACTATTCCGTTCTTCTGGATCCTTTTGTTTAAAGCAGTCACGGGGATCTGTCCGGGGCCGGTGCTCTATAACACCGAGGCGGTTTGTCTAGTGAAGCAGATCAATCCGAAAACCAATACGTTTGAGCTAATGCTAAAAAAAGAGAAATTATTATTTTCACATTAATCACTGCATGGCATGAGACATCGACTTACAGTTCCATATTAAACAATAGACTTATGGAATTAATGAAATCAAGTCACAAATCGGAGCGATTCACTTTTCACTTCAGACGAAGACGCAAAAGTTTAAGTTTATATCTCACTGCGAGTCGCTCATATCAAGGCCGATGCTCACTAAATCTAATTACTTAAGCTTTCCAACGCATTTAACTTGTCTATAAAAAAAGAAATTAATGTCGAAAAAATGTCTTTTCAGAAAGTCTTTAGTTACCATCAAATTTCGGTCCAGCTGACATTCAAATCCCTGCAACAATTCGATACAGTGCGTATATCAAGAGTTCGAGCAGCCAATAATCACGAACGAAACGGCGTGACGTCAAAGTCCCGGTAGAAAAGGCGCGGTGGGTTTGCTCACGTTTGGAGAGGGAAGAGCGCAAGGAACCTCACTGTCTTCACTGGATTATACAAACCCAAAGTGTCCTCAACTCCTCCTCCTTCTCAGTTGCTTACATGCTGATCCTCTACTGCATGCGGGACGAACAATAACAGCTAATGCTGTATATGACAGGACAACCACCTCATTTGTTAGAACAAACGTTTGAGTTGATTTTTACCCAAGCTGAAGCCTGCTGAAATTTGACATTTTTGGTGTGCGTGTGATGACAAACTGTCGTGGAGGAGGTGAAGAGACGTGGATGAAGATATTACCGCTTGCAGAATCTGAATCGTCATTGTAGTCGTTCCTCCCAGTCATTTCGGGATTATATATTTTTTATTCTTCGGCGATGCAATAACGGATTTGTGTGTGTGTGTGTGTGTGTGATGACCGGCGGCAGTCATGCTCCAAAACTGATTTCTGAAAAGACAAGAAAGAAAAACTGAACTCTTACACTGACAAATGCATGTCCAAAATGTGGTAACTGAAAGTTACTCACGAAGAAATAGGAGGGTCCAGTGTCACACATGTAGAGGGGCTTCAGTAGCTGGTATGTCCTCAAAGCTCCGGAATGCTCTCATAGGCTAAACCAATCTGGCTGCATGTTTTGCGATCTCACACTTCGATGCATTTAAAAGAATCCATCAGAATACGGAGTTGACATTTCTGATAAACGAACACCGTTTAGACCGATCAGATCCTCCAAACGGGAATTATTTGATGAGAGCGAGAGAGGCCATATGAACTGCACAGGGATAGAAGTGCGTCTCACGGAAATCTTGGGTTGCAGATCTGACGGAAACACGTGCTATTCGGTCTCATCTGCGGCAACGATGCTTTTCCACGGTCTGCCTGGAGGCGAGATGCATGGTGTTATGGAAGAAATGGAGCGGAGAGGAAAGAGCGATTCGGCGACTATCAGCTCGGCCATAGATATGGGGGAAACAGAGACGGTAGGAGAAAGCCATGCCTCTCGCTCCAGGCGCTTGCTTGGAAATCCTAACAGCCTATGCTAACTGAACCGTTATTCCAACAGTGCAATAGAAGCCCCAAGATGTGATTCCGATCTTGGCCATTTAAACAAGCTTCAAACTTCTGCAAAGCCAAAATTACAGGCCTCGTCTTCAATGCATTACTTGTACACCTTTTGTCATGTGTGGAATGCAAATAGTTACAGAAAGCTACGAGAAATTGTATCAATTTTAAATGGCCTGTTGTCCAATTTAATTTCTACTGTAAAAGTGTGGTTGTTCGATAAAGTGGTGAAATAATAAACAATTAGCGCGCAAGAAAATCCAGATTCGGTTTTGTGCATATACTGATATACTTAAAAGAAATTCTCATTATTTTACAAACGCTTATGCAGCGCTGCTAAACTTTAAGTGACGCAAAAATAATATTTTATTTTTTCATAATATACGAGTGATATAATTACGATTAAAAACATCAGCAGATGTTGTGATCCAACTAAAATATATTGCCATTGTTTTGGCCAATAATATCTGTGATTAACAACAGCAAAAAAAAAAAAAAGACAATGCAGAACCTTACGTTAAATCCATTACCATTAGGCCTACAATATTTTTTGAGCAATAATGCACGCTTAAAACAAATGTTTTGACATTTTTAACACTGCATCTCAAAACTTACACGATGACAAATCCAAAATTACAAATAAAGAAATGCTAAAGAATAAAACAATATTTTATTCTTACACAATTGTGTGTGTGTGTGTGTGTGTGTGTAGAAGCCTACATATATTACGAGTGTGTTTGCTGTGTGTATCTAAGGCCACACAACACGCCGAACGTAAACACAATAAAACAAGCTCAGCCTTTGATTAATTTGCTTATATATGTATCACATTTTCCAAACTGTGCCTTTGTTAAAGAAAAAAACGACGTGAATGGAGGCATGCATAATGTAATCTTTTCTTGTGGTTATTTTCTTATTATTCGTGGCATTCCGTTGTCACGGGAAATATTAAATACAAATCAGAGTACACTCACTCACTGAATACACTTCTATATTTATCTTCTCAATCTCACGCCCCTCCCATTCTCTACAGAAGCGAACACTAGTAATGTCTGATTTTTTTGGACATTTTTCATCAGCAAATGCGTAAAATAGTGTTTTCACGCGTTGTGTATTTTATGGGTTACTAATCTGCCATTAGAAATATTCATTTGTATAACACAGCAGATAATGGTGTAGATATAGAGTATTTGAATGAAACTGGGCTTTGAGTTCCTGCCTTTAATGAGCGCGCTGTTCGCCTGTGTTTGTGCAGAGCATGCCTTCGATCAGCGGGGACCGGCTGGCTCTGTGCGCGGGCTGCGGAGGGAAGATCTCTGACCGCTATTACCTGCTCGCCGTGGACAAGCAGTGGCACATGCGCTGTCTGAAGTGCTGCGAGTGTAAACTCAACCTGGAGTCTGAACTCACCTGCTTCAGCAAAGACGGAAGCATCTACTGCAAAGAAGACTATTACAGGTGAGCAAACTCCTTTACTCAAAAGTTGCACGATCTTACGGCGTTTCCTTCGCCTGGAGTGACATTTTCGTTTGTGGATAAATAATAAAAATGCAAACCTGTCGCCAAAGCCTGCTTTTTGTCTGTAGATTGTATTTTGATGTGGTTTCGTCATTATACGCTTATAATAATGCAGAAACGACATAACTAATTTTCATTGCTTGTATAAAAGAAAAAAAAGCCAAAATGTTTTTTTTTTCTGTTGATGTCTGTGAAAACGTAGTTGTACATTTTAATAATCAGACTAATAATAGCTTACTTTAATTAATACAGAAACTACTAAAATTATTCAAGGAATCATTTTTTTGCCTAAAATTTAACGTTTTTGTTTAAATTAACTAAACATTCTATAGAAAAATTACATTTTTCTGTCTAGGTATTGTGAAGACATCATGATGCAATTTAATAACAATTACAATAACCCAGAATCTCCTTAACCTGCTCAACGATTTTACTCTATTCTCGTAACAGTTAAAGAAACAAATCATGTAGCAACATGCCTAAGTCGTCTCTGCAGTGCGAGATGATTTTGGACTTCATTATAAAACTAAAAAAATCCAGAAACGATAATCTTACTTTGCTTGAAATACAACATTTCTGTACCGAGGGAAAAAAAGAAAGCAGCAAAACCTATATAGAAAAACGCTTTAGTGTGTGATATCTGGACGAAATTTAGCTGACTGCACTGATTCTGTATGTCACTGTACAATTTAATACTCAGAGGGAGGCGAGAGGCCTATTAAGATAATCATACAAGTGAAGGCTTTACCCGTTTCTACGTTCAAATGAGGCTGCAGCTCACGTCAATCTCAATTGTAAGCTATTTAGTAATTATTCGAGACGTAATTATTGGCGAGACTAGATTCCACTGCACGAGTCAACTATTTATTAACGCATCCTGCTGTTTAATGCATTATTTTACTTCAGCATGTCCACATAGGGCCAGATAAAAAAAAAATGTAGCTATAATGTAGAATTGCAAATTATAATTTATCCAAAGGTTATTATGAGAAGCAGCCCATTTAATGTCAGGCTCATGAGTGGTGGGCCCACCTTCTGGTTGAAGTATGCTGAAAGGTCACAGCTGCTCTATTGTCCCGCAGAAGGTTTTCGGTGCAGAGATGTGCCCGGTGCCACCTCGGGATCTCGGCCTCGGAAATGGTCATGAGGGCCAGGGATTTGGTGTACCACTTGAACTGTTTCACCTGCACGACTTGCAACAAAATGCTGACGACTGGGGACCACTTCGGCATGAAAGACAGTCTGGTGTACTGCAGGCTACACTTTGAAACGCTCATCCAGGGAGACTTCCCCACGCTTTTCAATCACACGGATGTAGCGCCTAATAAAGGACTGGGCAGCACGGGCCCTCTAGGACTGGCTTATTATAACGGCGTGAACACGGTGCAGAAGGGCCGGCCCCGAAAGAGGAAGAACCCTGGGCCCGGAGCGGACTTGGCGGCTTATAATGCAGGTGAGACCATCGCTCAACTTGTTGTTGTTGCTGGTTTACTGCTCGTTTTATTCTTTTATAAACATTATTTGTCCTTCATTTTAATTTTTGAACGTGTTGCACGCATTGTTTCCCATCTGAACACTGTTTTTAACAGCGCGTAGTTATGTTAGCATAATAGTTCCCTGCGATTTCGGTGAATTTACAGGTTTACGAAACTTTTTGGGCGGCACTGAATACCCAACAAGATCGTTTCAGAGCAAGATGAAAACAAGTCTGGTGAATTGACAAAAACCTTAAGTGAGATTTCGCTTAAACAATACTGTTAGCTGCCACTATTTTGAACAATAAAGTACGACTTTTATAAACATGATTGTATTTTTATTTAATTGAAAGTACACATGCAATAAATAAACTACTTTCTAATAGGGAAAAAAGCGAAAAACAAGCTGTAAAAATGCGGGAAACATTTAAAAAAGCCATTTAAGTGCAGTCCTGACTAAACAATTAACTGTTTTTAAAAAATAATATTTCATTGTTTGAATAATATTTCAATATTTAATTTCTTTTTAT